ATCCCAAAGTGTCTCTGTGTGGCCGTCCTATGCCACGAGAAACTCCAATCAGGCTCCTATGTCCTCTACCTTCATGATTGAATGTCCACTTCGTTTGAACAACGAACACAACAATCGAGGACGGCTTTGCAATGAAAAATACAGCTATACTGGAGCTGAAAAAAAGAAGAAAAAAACGTGCTCAGGATGAGACTCGAGTACACGCATACTCTCCCAGCAGGTGAAACGCAATTTTTTGTGAAAAATGCGTGTCGCCGACTGACCAGTAATTTCGCCTGACGTACATGCACCGTTGGAAAAGACCGTACTCCAACTACCCAATTAGGTTCTCAGGAGCAAATTGCCGATCTAATTACGGGTAGCACGGGTACCCTACTACCCGATGACACCCCTACTTTCAACCCGGGTACCATTCTATATAGATGACATTACAGTGAAATTTCCATTTAGCCTGCCCCCCCCCCCCCAGGGACCAGAAGGATCAGCACTATTTAGCCAAGCCACTCCACCCAAGGTCGAATGAGCAGCACTGTACACTAAATTCTCATTGTACTGTACATATACACTGAACTTGTCATTGTACTGTCGATTATACGGAATCGTCACGGCTCAGTGTTAGCTGGGCCGTTGATTGGCAGTTTTAGAACACCTTACCTCCGTTAGGAATTTGAAGAGTTCCGGTTGACTGTGCGGGTCAAGCGTGGCCTCGAAGAGCGGCATGAAGATGTTGTCCAGCATTTCTTGGAAGTTCTTGACTTGTCCCTTGGCATGGTAGACATTGCTGCATAGGTGAGCAAATGACGGCAACACCAGCAATATTCAGTAGGTTGATAAGGATCAGGATAACCGTACTATACAAGTTATAAGTCGAACCAAGAGTCCATAACCCAAGAGTATGCAACTGTGATTATGGGTGCATGCGTGGCGCGCTGCCTTCATTATGTAACTTGCCTTCATCACGCTCTGAAAGCATGCATTCAAACTCTCAATTTCTCGCACGAGCCCATCCGTTTTTGCTCGATTCGTTCCAGTACCTACACAATCTCTGAATTCTGGCGCGTGAACTCCAGTTCCGTACGAAAGTTCATTTCAAACTGGAGGGAAAGTGCTGTGTTTGATTTTCCGCAGTGCGCGGACTGCAGCTGAATGATGTAATGAAGGCAGCGCGCCGCGCATCTGGCCCATAGAAAAGAGATCACAGTTGCATACTCTTGGGTTATGGACTATTGGTCGAACTCATAACTCTTTCCGGGCTTAGGACGAGTATACTTGTCATGCAGACCCCAGTGCACCTGGGCAATGACGAGTACTCTAATTTCAGAAATTTTCAGTGCTCAATATTTTCGGTGAGGGCAAAAGGCCAGGTTAGGTGAACAGAAATGTTAGGTACAGAGAAGCAGTTCCCTATTAGATTATGTCTGTTAGTGTTGTTCGGTGTATTGAAATTCTAGGTACGAAACAGATGCACCAAAAGTACCGAAAATAAAAGTACACCAAAAATTTGTGAAATTGCAGTATACTCGCGCTATACTTGTTGTACAGTGCACATACCGTACGCACTGGCTAGATCACTGTACAAGCAGCCATAACTCTGGAAAGGATTATCGCATTGCCATGACCAGTAGCTCATTGGAACGGTCTTGCAAAGGGCTTTCTAGAGGTGTTTTTCGGTGTGGCGATAGCTCAACAAACGATCGAGCGGCGATAAATTGAACGCGCGATTTCGATCCGAACATTTTTCTTAGTTTTCGTCTGGCGATATTTTTGCAACTTTCAAGGCATTCAAGGGGATTTCCCAATGATGTGTCAAAGGCAACATAACGTATGGCACGGCTGTCTCATGCATGCGACGCTCGTTCATTCAATATGGCGGCCAAATTTTAACCTTTTTCATTTTTTACGCGACCTTGCCTAGTCGTATGTTTGCAATTTCGCTCGACTTCCATCTCAAATGGGCAAGGTCAACCGAAACCACGGGTGTTTGCCAGGTCATTCGATAGAGTTTAGAGCTTGGACTGGCCTTGCCTTCGACTGTGCGGCCGCTTGAGCGATCTTCTCGCGTCGCCCACGCGCTACGAATGGTTTCTTTCTCGACGTGGGTACAATTATTTTCGGATCGTCGCTCGATTTCGATTTCAAGGGCTCGCCAACCTCGTCAGCAATTTTTATCCACCTCGCAGGCAATTTTCTAGTATACCTCGATGTCCCAGCATTTTGATTTAGTGTATTCCTAAGCTTGACGTGCATCACTCTAACGTTTCGTGTTCAGTTTAGAGAAGTTACTTTGTTCAGAAATGGAGGCTCATGTCGACATCCTGTCTTTGTGTTGTCGCATTGGAGGGGAGAAATTCGCGTCAAGGAGTGTACAGACCAAGTATCGTGTGGCAGATCATACTGAATCCATTTTGGCAGTATTTCACCTCAATGTGTCAAAAGATGAGCCAAATGTACACTCTGACCATTTTTGCCACACGTGCAAATTGGTTATCGATTGCAATGCTGTGGGCCCAACATTCGCTGGAATTCAGCTTTCATACAACAAATTCCGATTGTTGCATGTATGGCTGAAGTCCATGGGTGTCGAGCTGGCGTCAGCGGAAAGGAAGATCGTTCACAGCCACACAAGTCCCACAGTACAGTGTGAAACACATTCCAATGATGAAGCAAAGTGGAGACATTGTCATGGCTGCTATTATATCTGCCCCATCTCATCAGTGTCGTCACATTCTTCCTTGACAAGTTAAAGAGCGCGGACAGGCTCATATGGAGTAATGGTATACCTGAGGCAGAAGTATGGATAAAGGTCGGCGGTGACCATGGCGGTGGCACATTTAAGCTCAGCTTTCAGGTAAGAATTTATCATCAGTATCAACCATTATTATAATTTTTATTATGACTGCAAAAATAAATTGCAGATTACAATGTGGCAACTGCTAGAGGTACATTGATCTCAGTATGATGTCATGTCAACATTGTGTTGTTGCTGCGGTGTCAAATTATGCCGTGCACAGGTCGCTACTATCTTGCATCTAAACACTGTCAAGAATACTGTTCCCATACGCATCTTCAACGAAAAGGATACTCCCGGGAATCTGCACGCAGCGTTAGATACGTATCAGGACCAGATAAGTGAGCTGATAGGCATGGCCTGGCAGGATAAGCGCCAGCAGGTTTTTTCTCTTCGGAGATTACGAATTTCAATCTAGCAATTATGGCTTGTCAGGCCGAGTGGTGCCAGGCCATGCCTGCATAGCCATTGTTTGAAAAATTCAATGGCCGAGGACCCTAGTCATCAGCCAAAGGAGGGCAAAGAACCAAGATCACTGATAACACTGGCAGATGACCACCAACGCTTCCTGGACGACGGGTAAAGAATGAGTCACGCCAAGAACTTTAACAACATCATTCGGCCAATCCTGCTTCCCATACCAGTTGCCGCCGCTGTCGTTCCACTGAGGTCTGCATCTGGACCTCGGTATTTTCGCATGTCCTTTCGAGCGTTTAGAAAGAGAACTTAACCAGCTTGACGTAAAACTTGCCGCTCAGTCTACTCCGGTGGATGCTGATGGAAGTGGATTCCGACTATCAGCGGCCAAAAATCAAGAAGTGTTATTTTTCGTTGGCTGAGCGTAGCGAATGAAACGAAAAATGTATTTTTTGCCAGCATTTTCACCATAGTTACGGCACCAGGATTGCGTCAGCTGGTTTTTGTCAGTGTTCTCAAACTTTTCTCTTCATCGTGGTCTTTCTCTTTTCGTTGTAGTTTCCCACCCGCCCTCCCCTTTATTCTCACTTCTGGATAGGTCCTGCAGGCTACGGTTTGTTCATTTATCTTATGGGGTTATGCTAACGGGTTTTTCCTCAGGGTTGTGCCTCCGCCGGGGTCCTGAGGTTTTTTCCGCCAGCTTCGGGCTGGTTAATTATCTGGCGGCCCCATTCACCACAGTGGTTCACGTTTTGCATCATGTTGGTGTGGTACATACGTGTATATGTATTATGTGTGAGGTGGCACGCCCTTCTTCTTGCTCATGTATACACTACGCTAAGCTCTTCCATCTTCCACTGTGAGTGAACAAAGACCACACTACTAGTGAACAGAGACCACACTACTACTACTGTGATCTGTATCTTTCTGTTGTGTGTGTGTGTGTGTGTCTGCGGTGTACGCAGAGGCCAGCTAGCTGGCAAAAAGTGCATGCCATCCATGCCCACATTGCCGAGTTGGAACAGCAGCAGACACTACTAGAACATCAGCTCCAGTTCACCGTATTCTGGACACAGCAGCACAGTGCAGACAGTGATCAATGGCAGCAGATGGCACGTCAGTTGCAGGACGGGTTGACGCACGTGTCTAGCCAACGTGCAGAACTTGAGAAACAGCAGCAGAAGCTTGAAACAGAGATTCGGAAAGCCACAGGCAAGGCGAAGGAGTTACATGGTCCATTGCAGAGCTCCTTGGATCCCGTTCTGCAGAAGCACCACACCGAGCGTCAGGTGCACCACGGTGGTGTCAGGTGTACCACGGTGGCGCATTCAATGGCAACCATGTCCATGCTGCTTTGAAGCCCACCGTGGTCACTGCCTTGACAGACGCCCCCGTAATCATCATGAGGCAGAGGTGTCCAGCCCTGGAAGCCGACGCCAAGGCAGTCTGCAGTAGATACAAGCAGCTGTTCACCAAGTACGCTGCTTGCAGTGATATTTTTAGTAAGAGCGCTGCAGTCACTGCCAAGGGGATTGCATCTTTGCGAGCCCTCATAGAAGACTTCTTGGCGTTGTGCAGGCGTGAGGTGGTCTCTCGTGGCATTGGCCACATAACCTCCAAACTTCACCTGCTCGAGGAACACGTTGTTCCCCTCATGTAGGTACTTGGCATTGGAGTTGGCTTGCTGGGGGAACACGGCGCAGAATCGATCCACTCCACCTTCAACAACTACGAAAAAAGTTTAAAAGACATTCCTGCAACAGTTTGATGGATGATGGAGACAGCGCTATAGAAAGCGATTTGGAGGTGAACGATTGGCCTCAAGTTATTCTGATTGAAGACAGCGATGATGATGATAACGTTGATGCTGATGATGGGCCACCAGCACCACCACCAGCACAACCACAGCAGCATCATGATCATCATCACCACCATGTTGATCATGAGCAGTATCTGCACGTCTACGAGGAGGTGGTCGTCACAAGAAAGGAACTTAGCGATGACGGTACAGTTCACGTAACCACCTTCACGACCAAAACTTTCAAATACAGCAATGGTGAGGAATACACCAATGTACATATGTTTGAAATGACGCCATGTCATTAGTTTGTGCGCGTGATGACACCGTGATGGGTACATTGTTTGAGTCGCTTGAATCTTACGAGTTCGGTGCAGTTTGAATCGTAGTTCTACGTTGAGTATGAGCCCCAAAGCGAAGGAAATAGTTGTGCGTGGTCTTGATGCCAAACTGGAGCAAGGTAGGGACACTGTTGGCGAGGCTAGGGCGTCGTTGAGGTGCTGTATGCTCTGAAAGCACGTGGAAGATGACGAGCAGGAAAGGAACTTTCCAGTAAGCCATAAATTGTGAAAATCCGTTGAGAAACAATTATGTTGTGACAATTTGTTTGTTGCTATCTCCACAATTGTACTGATCCACTGAATCACAGTGCCCAGACGCAGTTAATGCACTGTGACCCTGGAAGGGTTAAGGCCTAAAAGCCAAACGGAATATCCAGCAACAACCACCACAATATCAGCACCAACAGCATCTTGACTGACATAAATACAGCTTTAGGTGTGGTATATACTAGGCTTTGGTTCACACCACGGACAGCATCCTTTGCCCCAAGGCCAAGCTTGATCCTATTGGATTAGAACACAACTCTCCACACCAACCTGTAGTAGCTGTAATGCAACTCCTACAAACACACTGTTTCACAATTGATTTCAGACACATGCACTTACTACAAGCGTGGTATCTGGATGAGGTAGCGAATGTTAGGGCTTGCCAGCTTGTTGGCGACCGCCCACTTGGCCAGCTTGCTCCATTCGTCACGTGACCGGCCGTAGATGCTGACTCTTGGCTCGGCCATCTGATACTTACTGTCCTCCAGGTCATCAATGACTTCCTGTATTTACAACATAGCGTGATGTGACAACATGAAGAGGATTTTTTAAATCTTTGTTATAAAGTTATAGTCAAGTATAAGTTCTTGCTGCACTAGTAGGCAAACATTGAATGGCGCTAAGAATTGTCTAGGTCATAGTAATGTTATAAAACAGAATCTTTAGCGTCTACACTGTGATGCACAACTACCGTAAAGTACCGTTGATCCGCCCCCCACGCCATGTCACTTCCCAGCTGGGTTTTCGGCGGGGGGGGGCGGGAATTAAATTAAGGCTGTCAAGTGCAGTACGATGTACAACACATAGAAGTTCAGACTCGATGTGCTGGATTGTGCACATTTTCATCCTGGATCGGCAAATATTGTGTACAGCAGTGCATGCGTCGGTTCAACATCGTATTCTTGTTGTATACGCCGAGGTCGCTTCACAGGTAGAAAATCGACAGGGGGGGGGGGGGGGGGAATTAGAGAGAGGGCGGATCAACGGTACTTTACGGTACTATTACTTCTAGCCGATAACATATCAAAATGCTAGATACTGGTGCTAATCAGCTCACCCTCAGCAGCTGAGCAAAGAACTTTCCCTCGATGTAGTTGTCTGTCTTGAGGAAGATCTCACGGAAGCGACTCTGGCCTGGACAAAGTAATGAAAGATAGAGAAAGTTGCCAATGTTACATAGGGCACCCGCAGCACGTTACTTCATCGATAGTTTCCTCTTTTATGTATCTGAAAATCTTACCGACTGGGTTGTATTTCAAGTTGAACTTGTCAAAGCGATGGAATGTATTGCGATCCTGCAAATGGAAAAGAAATAAAAAGCGTGTGTAAATACAATGGAAGCTGACAGGAACTCAATTGAGAATGAATTTGACACATTTTCCATACATTTCAAGCATTGACTAGCCGGGGGGGGGGGGGGGGGGGGGGGCAATGGGAAGAAATTTTGGAACAAGACAATGGCAGAGCCCGTATTCGGCATGCACATGTACGACCCAGTGGCCCAAGAGACAGCGCACAATGGGATTTCCTGCAGTGCCCACAGCATAGTTTTACGGTTCAACTTTGCCCTACATGTGGGAGCCCTCGGCACGCATCAGTTTCAGCTGCCTAGTGTGGCACTCACCGCATGCACGTCGAGCATGTCCACGGAGAGATGATGCGGTGTCAGGTTGAGACTGGTGAAGACCTCGCCAAGCGTCATGGGCTTGCCGTCGGCATCCTGACAGACCGGAGTGTCCTTGTCCTCGCGCGCTCGCTTCTTCATGAAGCGCAGAAGGTGCTTGTGGTTCATCCATGACGCAGCGTGGACGTGAGTGTCAACCTGCAAGTTAGAGCATGAACAAGCCATAGGTATATACTACCATAAAAAAAAAAGGAAAGTTCAGCCGTTTGCATCCTACTATACAATTGTGCTGAGAAACACAACCAGCTTACAGTCCATTCATAAAAAGATGAGCTCTGGCTCTGGCGAGCTCCCGTATTTGGCGATTTTTCGTGATTTCATCGTACACAGTGCAGTGCTGCGAAATTTGAAATTTGAAAAAGGGTCCAAAAAGGGTACCTGAACTGGGGTTCGAACCGCACAATGCACTGTTGCAGACGGGGTCAAACGGCCTGGATTTTTATGGTTTTTCCCAATTCAATGCTTTGGGGGCAAAACCTGGCCGAAATCCTATTCTTGTTATGGCTTGCTTTTTGGAGAAAAAAACTTCAGAAACATAATTGGAAGAGGATTCCATAGAGGATTGCAGAAAAAAATTCTAAAAAAACTCAACGTTTGACCCATTTATGGCCAAAAGCTAGAAGTTCATTTTTTTCTGAATGGACTGTAGGAAGTTTCGCTTGTGTCAGGCCACCACCATGTCTGATATGCCAAGGTGACATACGTATGGTCTGATATGCCAAGGTGACATACGTATGGTCTGATATGCCAAGGTGACATACGTATGGTTGTTGTTGTTGTTGTTGTTTTCTTCATTTGAATTCGCTTGAACCAAACGGACAGAACTGTTCAGTGACAAGGGAGCGAATGATGAGCGTCATAATCACTATGCATCAAAAACATCTCAGAGAAAAATGAGACAGACTATATTAAAGGAGGGTTTGCACAACACTTGTACATAAAGGGGAGTACGAGAACAAAGGCGCGGCTGAAGTCGAAGCAAGAAAGCAATCAACGCCAGAGATGTTTTTGTCCACCAAAAACAGAGAGAGAGAGAGAGAGAGAGAGAGAGAGAGAGAGAGAGAGAGAGAGAGAGAGAGAGAGAGAGAGAGAGAGAGAGAGAGAGAGAGAGAGAGAGAGAGAAAGAGAGAGAGAGAGAGAGAGAGAGAGAGAGATCCGAGAGAGAGAGAGAGAGAGAGAGAGAGAGAGAGAGAGAGAGAGAGAGAGAGAGAGAGAGAGATAGAGAGATCCGAGAGAGAGAGAGAGAGAGAGAGAGAGAGAGAGAGAGAGAGAGAGAGAGAGAGAGAGCGAGAGAGAGAAAGAGAGCGAGAGAGAGAGAGAGAGAGATCCGAGAGAGCTTTACCATGGGTGGCGAACAAGCAAAACCAGTGCAGAAGCAATGGTGAGGTTGATTGAGTGCAGGTTGCCCACCTACCTAATATTTCCCTATGTATCTAAATGAACTCTAACGTCCCCTATTTGAAAACATCTCGCCCCATACGGAGGACTCCTGATCGCAAATCATACCTATCCATATATATTGGGTACTGCCATCGTACAGCGAATAAATAAATAAATAAATAGATCCATTTAACAGCACTCAAACATTAGGCTATTCTAGTACTGGGTATCTAGAACTTGAAGTGAAATTCAAAATCAGCCAAGCAAACACACCTTGCGAACATTGTAGAAGTCTCGGTGAGGACAACGCTTAGCCGAAGCGACCTCACGCCCTTCGTTTAGCAGACTGTGCATCTCGTACCGAAGTCCTAGGTAGGAGAGTCGCCGGAAAGCGAATGATTTCCTGCACAGAGTGGGAATCACAAACATCATACATATGGAAGAGATCTGCAACACAAGTCGCATTGCATTCATTAAGGGTCATGGGATTGTCGAATTCACATGTCGCCGAATTTCGCTGGTACTATTTCCTTGCCTTACATACATGAATAGGACATTACTACATGTAGTGGCAATTAACTATCCATAGACATGCATGTGGCATATCCAGAAGCATGGTCACTCTTGCAAATCACCATTGAACGGCCATTTCGACAGTGCCAAGTCCAAACATATCCCTCGGTGGTAAAAGAAAAAGACAGAAACTACACTCTCTACGAAGTAAGGGTGAGGCTTCTTGCAGTTTCATTTAGAAGAAAGGCATTCGAACAAACACGCGTTTTCATATCAATTTATTTTATTTTAATAGCAACATTTCGGCATTTCGCCTCCATCTCGTCATAATAAGGCAAAGGAACGGCTATGTATACACTCTATTTAAAGACAATATCACCATTACCACTACCACGGTCTTATGCTGCAATTCAACAGACACATCTGTAGAATAAATCCACCCTTCGGGCTTCATCAGGCCAAATTTTGGAGAGATATAATTATTATTGAATTGCAGCGAAACACCGTCATGGCAGTCGTAATATTGGTTAAAAGATGATTAATTGGTTGCAGTGGAGACTCCGAATATTTCAGAGACTACCCCGCAAACTTACACTGGGCCATGAACGGAGAGTGCCAACAGGACATTGAAATCCTCAATAAATGTCTTCCAGTTAGGCTGCTTCAAGTTCTGGATTTCTTCGCCCGTCTCCTGGTTGACGAGCCTCACGACTCCATCTTGTGGAACCGGTACACCGTACTTGACAGTGCTGTCTACTTCGGGCACTTCAATGTCCTCAAACTTTGGTGGAATGGGCAGCGGGGGTGGAGGACTTGGAGCACGTGCTGCAGAGCAAAGAAATCACGCAGGAATCCAGTGGAAGGATATTAATATTGTGGTAAAACCATTGTCTTGACCATTCACCGGTAAAACGCTTGACCATTTATTCTAGCTATGCACACTAGTTTGCCTTTGGGTTTCAATCTAGTCCGCTTTTTCTCAAGGCACCTACACCCATCCCATGTCGATGACACTAGTGATACCTAGCCATCAAAGTGGTGCATTACAGGCAAAATACAGTGGTGGAAAATCCTTCTTGCAGGTGTTCCAAATTGCTCACACAATATCTTGCTAACTGCTACGCATAACTCGGCAGTTTATTCAATTCATTAAGGTAAGACTTGAAAACATCTCCAGCCCGAACAGGCTCTCAGCTGCACCACAAGAATATAGCACTGCCAATATTTCGTCCATTGAGCATCATCAGGGCAAAGTGACAGTGATAGCATAATCAACAGTACATACACGAGGAGGAGCTAGACGTTTGTCTACCGCGTCCATCACCGGCCGCACGCTGCTTGCTGTTGAGCACGCGCTCGGTGGTGTTGCAGAACGGCTGGGCACTCTGCTCCATGTAATCCATTCGCATGACCAGTGCCTGCGTCAGGATGGCGGACGCCTCTTCCAAATCAGCTGCTCCAACCTACAGCCGGGAGGGAAACAAGCAGAAGTCCACATCGCAACATGTGTCATTACCACATCTCGTCGACTTGCACCGAGAAGCAGCCATGAACGGTTGAATGTGCATCCAGTAGGCAGCTGTATGCTGCGGCTCTCCCAAGGCCGTATATTCATATGTACAGTCAACCTACCCTTTTTGCGATAATTATTATCATTCTAAAATTTTGTTAGAGAGGAAGTTTATAACAGCAAGAATTTTTGTACTGCTCTTGTAACGATATTTTTTCTCTAAAACCAAATCATGCACTACGACATACATGTATGAAGTGAACCAGTTAACCTCATACCAATATCACCCTTATCGACAATTCTCGGTCTGGCGCAAATATCGTTATACGCGTAGGTAGATTCACTGTACAAACTTGGAAATTTTATCGATAACCTGTTTCAGTTGTGCATTGGCAGGGACTTACTCCGGTTTCACATCCAACCACTTGCAGACGACTATAGTCCACATCAGCATGGCTAGCTAAGCTAGCATCACTGCTGCTTATACTATTGTCACCACTATCAGCACCATTGCTATTCGTACTCTCATGCTGGTGGTGATCATAGCTGGGATCGATGTTCCGTTCTGCTTCAGCTTCAAGCGGTTTAGATAATGATTTGGTCGGAGATGTCAAGACTAAATCTGACAAACGTTTTCCCAAATGTACTGCACCGCCCGAGTAGGTGTTCGCTCGACGTCTTGGCACATTACTGGCTTGCCATGTAACGGGATCTATTGGTGACGGAATCGACTGCTCTACCCGTTCGTCCGAGTCTAGCCATGGAGTGCTGTTCGCGTCCAGGAACAAAGAATTGCCGTCCGGAGTTGGGCTGCATCTACCCAGGTGCGCCTCGATGGGCGACACCGATAACAACGAACTGGCCGCATCCAAACTACAAGAGCGACGACGAGTTCGGGGCACGGAGTGATCTCTGCCTGGGAGGTTCGCTGCTGTCGGCACTGCCACACCGTGAACGGACGGTAGGTCACTGTTCCGACACCCTGCCACTATACTAAAACTGTGCAGTCGCTCTGCCGCAGCCACGTCGACAGCTTGGTCGGAGGTGGCCTGCGCCATACTCCTTGCCTCCATCCGCGCCTGCATGACAGCTTCTCTGTGTATTTCAGCCACCGTTCTCTCCTCCGTCGGGTTTGGATCGCAGCAAAATATTTCCTCGCTGTCGTCTTCCAACAATGCTGGCATTTGACTTTGAGAATCTTCGCAAGTGCTGACAGTCACAGAAGGCGGCGACCTATGGCTATGGTGCAGTCCACTTCGATGCTCCATGTTTTCTCCGATGAGTGCACTGGCCACTAGTGCAGTAGTGGCTTTGCTGACGTGTTGCGTGCCTCAAAAACGCGACCAGCGGCACTGCGCTGTAGCCCGTGTAGGCTGTAGGAGACCTACAACTAAAAAAAGTAGCTAGCTGGCTGCACACTACAGTACTTGGTTCCAATCCAAGCACCTAACAGTTTTTTTCTGCTGAAAGGGGAGGCTCAACTCAAGTGCCAGCTGTAGACTGTAGCCAAAACTAGGCAAAAGAAAGCACTCTTCTCTGGTCCGCTGGACGTAAAGTCACATCTGCCATACACCAAACACCAACCCGAACTCAAGGACACCCAGCCAGCAGATGAACGTTACGTCCACGTAAAAGCCCCCCGGAAGTGGGCCACAACTTCTTGACTCGACTGTCACTCCCTAGCTCTATTCTTCACGGCACAGATTGTTGGCACAAACTCAGAGAGTCAGAGCATGCCGATACCGCCACTCGCCATGATATTGCACGGATTCAAAGCAGGTCATGCGCGACTGTCGAGGAAGAAAGATAAAACAGCAATGATTTGAAAAGAGCTTGAAGCGCTCAGCTCACGTCTACTACCGCCCACACGCACGTCTGCAGTGCCGCCATGCGCCAAAGCATGGACGCTCTTGCCAGTCTTGGGGGTGTCTCTTGTCTGTCGTGTGGAAAACGGTAGACGTCATGTACAATCATTGTGCATGTACTTTGTAGCATGTTCTTCCAGCAACTAACTAAAAATAAAATAATTACTTCTAAGCGTCCTTCTCATGATCTATAATATGAGTCCATGTCCTCCACACGGTCCACCGCCGGCACCTGGGCACCGGGTACCGGTAGACCATCCTTCTGCTAGTGTTACTGTTAGTGTTAGGTAACTACCGGCGCGGTAGATCTACACCATGCATAGCCAGCGACTACTTGGCACTAGCCATTGATGAGCACACTTTTATACTGTCGACATGTCTTTGACTTTTTATAATGCGCATGATGAGAATGGCGCAAATCCCCTCATACAATGTATCATTATCATGTCGCCTCGCCATGATGACTGATGTACACGTATCTTGACTGAGTACGAGGTCAATACCGGTAAAGCTGAGTAAAAGACCGAGCTAGGTCGCAGGCGAAGCCGAGGTCTTTTACGAGGTTTTTTTATTTCCTATTGTAGGCTATACTGACCAAGTACGACGTCAATATTAGATTTATCACGACTAGCCAAAGCCTGTGGTATTCAATCTCTAAAAAGGAGTCAAATATAAGCAGTCAATATAGCCCTAAGGAGTGAAATATGTATATTATTATAACAAGGGACCGAGTGTATTAATATACATGACGCATGGAGAGGTATAAATATATTATATTTATACCTCTCCATGCGCAAGCTCAAGAGCAAAAAGGAGTGAATATAGCTTTCTTTCCCTAAAAAGGAGTGAATATAGCTTTAGAGAAAGAAAGCTATATACACTCCTTTTTAGAGAAAGAAAGCTCCTCAGTGGGTTTTTTTGATGGTTTTCCTCAGTGGTGTATATACCTCCTGAGTGGTGTATATTGAACAGTGTATATGGAAATTATAAATTTCATGGGAGATCTGGTATATGAGTGTGGGTGTATATGGAGTGAGGTATAAGCATGAATATTCGACTGCTTAGGCATAGCAAAAATCTATGGGAGTCAATACTAAGGGAGTGATAAAGTATTACTATTAGTAAAGTCCAGCGCACACAGTACACAAAAAAAAGAAAAAAATCCTCAGCCTAGTCTCTTGTTTCTGAGACCTCACTCCAATTAACAATCGAATAATGCGAATCAAATCAATTATGGTCCTAGAAAATTTTGGGCCTGGCCCATCAATCATCAGTTTTTGTTTTTTGTTTTTTGTTTTTGTTTTTTTGGGTGCAGTGGCAATGGTAGATCTATAGACGCGGCCGGCAGACAGGATCCTGGCATAGGGAAAGAACTGTTGGTTGATGCATGTCCGTGGCCAGGACCCCACATTTCCAAAGTGGGTGACTGTCACTAGGCTATGGGTGCTCGCAGTGGGCATGATGGCATCTTTTTATTTTTTATTTTTTTATACTGAAGTGCACAATGCAGTAGAGAACGTAATGGGAAGACAGAACCAATCTTTCAACAATCTACACAATGTATCTACTCACTGGCCTGTTTATTACAGGCTGTTGTTTTCCTCTTCCTGTTCATGGTCAGGTAGTGCCCGTGACCTGCGTGGTATTCTATCCGGCGGCAAATAGCCTCCAAAGTTTGCCAGTTCTTGTTTACCCTTTCCGTTCTTAATCTCTCAGGAAGCCCCAGACCCTCCCGCAACCCACCTCAAAGGTAGCAGCGGCCCTATGTTTTTCTTCTTCAGCAAAATGGCATGATGCCGCGTCAGGTGTTTCGCTTCCCGGACTGTCTACAATCTCTTGTGAGTGATAACAGCAGCAAGAAAGCCATGAATGTGACACAGTGAGTCGATAACAGCAAACAAGTACAGGAAGTTAGCCAATGAAAGTACGTAGTCGCGTCCCGAGCCAATGCGTTCTGCGTCCTGCTTACTGTACCCGCGCAATTAGTGCTCCTGGGGCATTATTCAAGAGACGGCACTATTTTTTCAATTCTAGTGCATTTGCGTCATCCAGCACAAAACAAAGCAAAACAGAACCTAATGTTTACTGTGAACTATCACGACTCAACAGAAACGGCAACAAGAACTGCGATTTTGGTCCTGAAACCACCAGTTCAATGACATGGACAAGAAAATTAGCAAAAGAACACAAAATTTGCACATGCGCTTGGTTACAAGCTCGGTGGGGGGGGGGGGGGGGGGGGGGCACTATTCAAGAGAGGGCTTTATTTTTTCACTGGCTCTTAGAGACTGGAGTACTATCCGAGATAGGGCACTATTCAAGAGTGGGCTCCAATCGCGCGAGTACGGTACTTGTGCCATGGTTGCACGGAGACCCGGGAGAGTGGTGGCGTTGTACTCGGACAATTCAGCATTCCATTGGCCACTATAATGTACAGGACAGCCTGATTCTATACTTGAGTATTCATAAGTTCATAACGGTGTAAGTCATGCTTCTCTTTTGGTGGCTTGACCCATAGAGGGTGGTGGTGTTCCTGCGGATGCAGTAAACTCGGCCTCTAGCCCGAGCCTCACGCGAACCGTGATTTTTGTGAGGCATTCTGGTGCCGATGATACATATGCAGCTACTGTAGTATAGTTCCAATACAGGTTGCATTCATATTCCGCAACCAGGCAGAGTAGCGTGAAATATATTTTGAAAAAATGGTGGCAATTCGAAACTCGGTAGATCACCAGTGTCCATGGTTTCTTGATGTTCAAATGAGAAGTCCGGCGAAAAAATTAAATTTCAGAGTCGGTAGAGTTTCGGGCGCTGAGTCTAATGGTGTTGGTCCCATGTGTCTCCGCCAAAGCGTTCTCGAGATATTTCCGTTTGAAAAACTGAGTTTCGGGGGGGGGGGGATACGCCATGACGTCATGCGGCCGCGCCACACCCTCCGCAACGTCATAGCGTGCAGCTAGGTCAAAAGGAGTGCGTGAAAGCAATAGTGTCAATGCTATTTCAAATGATTTGGCGACCGATAATAGGTGGTGTAAGCGACCCCGAAGGCGGAACTCCATTTGAGAGTGAGGATGCCGCCATGGCTGACCTTCGTGAGTTCGGTCTGGGGCTGAGAACCTCGGTATTCAGCTGAAGAAATGGCAGCGCCGGCCGGTCAAGAGTGAGCGCTGCTGCGTTTCCGACTGATGAAGAAGCAGCAGCTATTGCAGACGAGGCTAGTGGTGAAACGAATATCAAAACTCAGTAGCCGAACGAATATTCTTTCGTTAACACGGATGACATCACACGCCCTCCTCTCAGTCATTTTATTGGATAGGGTCACTATTATTAGGCATGACAAACGAAGGCACATATTTCTCCACCATTTCTAGGTCAATTTTCACAAAATCCCCAGCTGAAGTGCATTTTACACGCTCAAAAAACAGCTCAAGACGTGATTTTTCGTTTGACCGCCATAACTCCATTCCAGGACCTCGAATCGCGTCCGGATTGCTTCGAGACGACAGCTGAGAGTTTTCTAATGCCGATGGAACTTTCGATGAAGCGGTTCGGTCGAGTATTCGCGAAGGTACGGAAGTTTGAAGTCGCCGGGTAAACTCTGCATACCCAGTTAATAGCGAACATTCGTCATGAGAAATATTCGTTCGAATGTGACAAACCGAAAGAACATTCGAATATTCGGTCTATTCGTTTCACCACTAGGTCACGAGGCTGATAAAATTATCAGATCTCTGGAGAGCAGAGTCGCCAAAATGGAGAAGAGTGATGTGAGTGCTCTAAATGTTGTTCCACACCGATTCGCTTGGACTCCAGTAGCCTGCCACATGGTGATGTTTTGGTATGACTTGGCATATTTCGGACTACTCAATTGGCGGACAGTGCAGGCTCTTTGAACCATGGGCACGAGTCTTCGATTCAAGGCTCGCAACACTACGGGATCTGAAAGTTTTAGGTCCGGGAGCTGTTCGCTGTTTTGTCACTTGTCACGTTGTGCACTCATCTTTGTAGCATAACATAATGAGGCGGGACTATTCCATGCGGAAAACTAAAATTTTCTTTCTCACAGTCAAAGCACAACCACTGGCATCAGCAAGGAGCAACGCACGTTCCCTGACTACATGACTTTACATACGACTGATACATGTACTTCCTCCGTATACAAAAACTTCGTGACTTTTTTTTTAGGGCTGCGCATAGCTCTGGAATTGTTCCGTTTGACTTGGATTAACACTCGTGGCATTGTCTAACCTGTTTACAAGCTATATACAAAGAAAAAAGCAACTCGGACGAATGAGATTGAGTTTATTCAGAGTCTTCGTCGCTCCTGTCATTGTCACCTGACGACGCTGACTCCGCATCGCCAACAGTCGCTGCTTCCGCTCGAATTTCGTTCAGATTCTTTTCAGCTCCAATGGCAATGATGATCCGACGAGGGACTTTGGCTAGCGTACTCTTCATTTCCAGAGCTGTGTACGAATCGGTGTCAACTATATTCAGTCGTTCCAACCCGCGACCTCCATTATGCCGTGAAACGAGTCGCTCAAGCACATCCACACGCTTTGAATTTTCTCGGCAGGAGAATCCTCCCAGCATTCTACAACGGCTTCGACGAGGTCCCTGCGATTCCCCCAGGCCACAACGGAGATGTCTGGCTGGAGTGGAGAGAGGCGAAGAAAGCCAGGTTGTCGACATTCCGACCGGAGTCTGCGCTGGTTGCACGACGACTGAAATGTTTCATCTTTCCCTGCGAGCGGAACCGATTTATGTTCTCACGCTGCGTATGGGGCCGCGCACTGCAAGTACGAGCCTGGCCAGTTTCAGGGCAGCGAGTGCCGCGTGAGTCGTGACTCCGTGTTCCAGGCGCGAGCTCCACTTCGTCACGGTGTCAGTTTCGAGCAAGTAAGTGTTAGTTTTTTTGTCATTTGACTCGTGAGTTC